AGAAAATGAAACGGTATTGCTGATGTACTCTAGATCAGTGGTTCTCAACCTTTTTAATGCCGCGACCCCAACCAGTCGTAAGTCGAGGACTACGCAAACGGTGCAGCACCGTTTGCAGACTGGGACTTTTGGCGGGCTCAGGAGGGCAGAGACAGCCTGGACAATTCCTATTGGCTTTGGAAAGCCAATAGAATTAGACTCTATTCAAGAGAGTCTATTCTATTGGCTTTCAAAAGCCAATAGAATAAAAGGGAGTAGCACAGCTAAGGAAAAGAAGGGAAAAAATGGCGGGCTGCGTTGTTTGGCGACCCCCGTGAAGTGGTCGTTCCACCCCAAATGGGGTCCCGACCCACAGGTTGAGAACCACTGCTCTGGATAATTAAAGAACATCAAAGAAATATCAGAAAGAAAATTATTATTGATCATGTCAAGCTGTGGAATGTGCTTGGAAAAATGGGAATCCCAGAATATTTCATTGTCTTCATGAGGAACACATATACTGGCCAGAAATACAGAGAAACTCACTGATTCCAGGTTAGCAAAGGAGACAAAGCTATATACTCTCCTCTTATATATTCCACTTACATGCTGAATATATTAAGAAAAGCTTTATTGGAAGAAGATGAGCATGATTTTAAATTTGGAAGAAGAAATACTTCAAATAATTGAAGTATTTGAAGTATTTTTTTTCTGAGATAAGATGTTGGGAGCTCCACCTTTAGTTTATATATTTTGCTATCAGTCCATCATACTTCTGCAATAACTTAGCTTATCATAGACAAACCAAAACTAAGACTAATGCTTCAAAAACTCCAACTCCAATGTTTATGGTATAAAATTTAAAAATTATGATGCGATGCTGACAAACATGCGGTCTCATTCCTCACCATCTCCATGGAAGTTAACTATAGCCTAGTATGCTGCATTGCAAACTCCAGTAACAAAAACCAAGAAACTCCGTGAAAAAGTGAGATTAAAATTAAATATAAAGATGTCCAAATTAATAACAAGAGTAGAATAACGAGACTTAGAATTCACAATGAAGCTACTAATGAAGTGAGGAATTGTTTCTGCCATTTAGAATTTATTTATTTGTTAAATTCATATGCTGTCCATCTCACCGTTTGCAGTGACTCTATGCAACTTATAGAATGATAAAAAATAATGCAAAATCATTAAAATTAAAAAAAGATTAATTAAAAATTAAAAAACCAAGAGGATAGGCAACATGGGGGTTGGAATTTAATATAATAATAATAATAGTACTGTGGCAAAAAACAAGCAAGGGTAGTACCAATAGTAATAGGCTCCTTGGGTGCAATCCCAGAACAATTGAAGCATCACTTGAACACCACTGGCATTGACAAATTCGCTATTAGTCAATTGCAAAAGGCAGCCTTACTAGGAACTGCTTCCATCCTGTGACGATATCGGTAATACCATCAAACATCTACATCTGCCTATCCCAGGTCCTGGGTAAGGACTCGATAGGTAGACAAAATGCCAAATCCAGTCTGAACATCTGGCTGACTGTGCGATGATCAATAATAATAATAATAATAATTTTCTCTCTACCCTATTAGCCACCCCCATCAAAAAGCACCTCTATCAGGGCCTCAGGCCAGCTGGCATGACAGCTTTTAAGGTCCTCCTGGAAGACCAGTAATGTGGGCCCAACTTCACCTCCAGCAGATGAATATTCCAAGGGGAGGGGCCACTGCAGAAAAGGTCCTCTCTTGGATCCTGCAAGTCAAAATTCTTTGGTGGTATAAGAACAACAAGTTTTTCCCTTGCCAGACAAATATAGATATATCTTTTTGCTACTTCTTTAAATTTTGAAAACAAGAGGAAAAGTTGTTAAATTTAAACTCAACTTGCGGTTTTTATAACTTTGTCAGCTAGAGACTTAAAGATTCACATGCAGTTCCATCTTAAAAGAGTTGAACAGGTCGATTGCACTGATAATGTTTCTAAGGCTAATCTTTTAAACATATTTTAGTTCAGTTTTTGTTGATAGCAATGTTTGCATTCCTTCATTCCAAAATAGCATTACAAACAGTTGTTGCAAACTGCTAAATATCAAATTTGCAACTGATGTTAAAATGGCCTTATGTAATTTAAAGTCATCCTTATCTATTGGTCCTATGTGCTTTTTTCTTGAAAAAACTTTTTAATATTCTAGCCCAGAGGTGTCAAACTAGCAATGTCATGTGACGTGTTGTGACGTATCACAACTTTTTTTTCCACTGCCAGCAATGGGTTAGGGGCAGTTTCGGCATGACGCATCCAGTCCACGGGCTGGCAGTTTGACATCCCTGTTCTAGCCAAACCTTTGTGTTCAATTTTTGAAGTATTGTTATGAACTAATACTTTGCCAAATTTATAGTCATTAGCTATGGTTATTCAATCTTTAAAAATGGTGATCTCAGTTTAGTTGAAAATTAAAGGTCAATCTCTCTTTGTTGCTTTACATGCAAAGTCATGGAATCAGTTATAAACCAACTGATTATTTGCCATATGGAGGAAAACAACATATTAGCCAGCAAACAGTTTGCTTTCAGAAAAAAATTGTTGTGTAATTTACAACTTCTGCATTGTAAAAATATTTGGACTACATGCTTTGATCAAGGCAAAGCTGTAAATGTAATTTATATAGACTTCTGCAGAAAGTTAAAATAGGTAACTCATTGTCTGATCTGGCATCACTTAACAGTGATGTTCCTCAGGACAGTATCCTTGGACCTACTCTTTTCCTGATTTACATACATGACATGTGGTCAATTTAAAAGTAATTGTGTCTTCTTTGCTGAAGATGTAAAATTGTTTAATATTACTGAAAATTCACTTGTTTTACAAAATGACATTGCCCACATCTTTGAATGGTCATCCATTTGACAACTTCAGACGCTCAATTTTACATATTGGAAAACAAAACTAGAATGTAAAATATAAGTTAGGTGGCACTGATCTAATAGATGATCCTTATTTTGTTAAGGACCTGAGTGTACTCATCTCTATCAATTTATGTTCATTGTAACAGCATTGCTAAAACAGCACTAAAAGTTGTGAATTTAATTCTACAAAGTTTTTTTTTCTGGAAACATTGTGTTGGTCATTAGAACTTACAAAATGTATGTTAGGCCAGTCCTAGAATATTGTTCAGGTGTCTGGAATCCTTACCATATATCGGGCATTAATACAATTGAGCGAATTTAAAACTACTTTACAAGAAAAGTCTTGCATTCCTCTGTCCATAATAGACTATCTTATGCTACCAGGCTTGAAATTCTTAGTATGGATAGCTTAGAACTGCGATGGTTGTGGTCAGACCTAGGTATTGCATACAAAAATTGTATATAGTAACACTTTCCCTATAATTGTAAAGTAATGTGTGTGAACAACCACTTTAAACTTATGTAAACTGCTCTAAGCTTGATTATAAAAAATTCAATTTTTGTAACAGAATTGTCAAAGTCTGGAATATCTTACCTGATTCAATTGTCTCAGCCATTAACTTTCATAGTTTAAATTTAATTTAACTTAACTTCTGTGGACCTCACTCCACATCTAAGGGGTCCCTAAGGGGACATGCCTAAGTGCATTAACATATCTATCCTCCCTGTCACAGGGAGGATAGATATGTTAATTTTCTGATTTTGCTTGTTTCGGATTTGTAATTTTTGTTTGACAAATAAAAAATAAATAGTGCATAATTTTTTTTTAAACTGCTAGTGTTTGGAAAAATATATTCATTTTTATCACAGAGATTCTACCAAACAATAGCAATTGCAAGTTCCCATCTCAGTAAATCTTTCTTAATTTTAATATATGATATCACAAATATTAGCTATAATCATACACAAATATTTAACTTTTTATGCAATCTGAAAGCCAGTTTTCCCAATCAATTATTTTATCTTCTGTACTTGTGTTTTTGTTAACTGAAGGAATCAGTGCTCAGTCATATATTCCAAATATGGTGGACCGCCTTCGCAGCGTTTATTCTTTTATAGTTTTCCAAGCAGCAAAAGTTTAACATGGCAATAGCGTAGCATAGCATTTTATTGGTTAAACTCCTTCCCAATCCTTAAGAAGATATCAGCTAGGAGGCCCCAAACAGGGAGCAGTTTGCTGCTACATTCTGTTGGTGTAACCTAGCTGATATCAGGCAGGTGAAGTCATTGCACCAGCCTGGTACATTGCCATGGTGATGTGAAGGGATGAGATCATGTAGAGAGAAGAGGCATGCAGGCTTTGGAGGGGGCAGTTTGCTGCTCCCGACCTCTACCTGGCCCTTATCTCTACAGTTAACATTTAGTTATCTCTTTATTTATTTTATATCCAGGTAATGTAATAAAGTTGCCACTTTATAGGGTCATCTAATGATATAAATACCATAAGCATGCTGCTGAGACCCAGTTATAAACAGGACCTTGGGTTAACCAAGCAAGGTAGAGAAGGTGATATCTGGAGATTGTTGGATGGGGAAAAATAGTTGGGAGTTTAATACTAATAAAACTGATCAGCCCTTTGTTTATGGTCCACCCAGTTCCAAAAACTTCTAAACTGTGTGGGGCTGCACTGTTCAAGAAACAGGTGCCAGTTGTAGTCAGGAAAGCTCTTTCACAGATTATCTAATATGTCAATTGCAGTCCTCCTTGCATTGGGAGGTCCTACCAATCATTACGCATGCCTTAGTCACCTTGTGTATGAATTACTGCATGGGACTCTACGTGGAAATTGATTTGCAACTCTGTCATTCAGATCAAACTATCCCTTTGGTTCAACATCTGATGTGTTTAGACATTGACTCTGTAATCTGCTTTGCTCACAATAGGCAATTCCTTTCGTTGAAGGTATAAGCTTTTCAGTGACTCATTGGTTCCTCCTTAAAACATATTTTGTTAATCGATACATCTGGAAATCTTTTTCTGGGCCAGGTGCACAGCCTTTCATCCAACCCAGTCATCTGGTCAAATGTTTTCCCTCACAATCATTACCTGAAGTCACTCACAAGACATGTAGAGAAGTCAAGACAGCTTTTCCAGCTACTTCCTAATGTTGCCTTTATTCTGGAGAGACATCACTTCTGCATTCATTCTACCCTACAAGATTATGATAAAAATATAAAAAGAGAAAGCCCATACTGCTTGGCCCTCACATGACATCACACTTTATGACTCTGACACTTAGTGACAGAAACTTTGGTCCCAATTGCCACTAAGGGCCAAAAAATACTATATTAATTTTCATTCAATTAATTGTGAGAGTGGGATGACTTAATGAGGCTATAAAAGAATTGGGATCTTCTAAAATTTATTGTTTTTAAAAATATGTATAAAATAACATGCAAATTTATATAAGGGTAAATAGCAGCCTAATGCCCCTTTTAATTCTGTAATTTTTTTTAGCAATATAATGTCAATATTTTCTCATCTTTATAGATTAACACAAAGCTTCCCAATGTTTCTGGCTTTGCGGACTGGTAGGAGAGGGAAGGGATGGTTCTGTGCAAGTGGCCGGCAAGTGTGCGCATGGAGCCCCATTTGCACAAGTGGCATGAACGCATGAGCTGCCGCTCACTTAAATGGAGTGCATGCGCATGCTCACCTGCTGCTCGTGCAAGTGAAGATGAATGTGTACACATGCATGCATTTTCAGGCTGTTTCCGCGGCCCAATTGCAAACCCCTCACAGCCCAGAGGTTGGGGATCCCTGATCTAAACCATCAGGATGGAACAAAGCTAATGACAGTATGGGTATGTCTAGTTTAACGAAGAGAAGGACAAGGGGGGACATGATAGCAGTATTCCAATATCTCAGGGGCTGCCATAAAGAAAAGGGAATTAAGCTATTTTCCAAAGCACCTGAAGGCAGGACAAGAAGCAACGGGTGGAAACTAATCAAGGAGAGAAACAACCTAGAACTAAGGAGAAACTTCCTGACAGTCAGAACAATTAATCAGTGGAACAGCCTGCCTCCAGAAGCAGTAAATGCTCCAACACTGGAAGTTTTTAAGAAGAGACTAGACAGCCATTTGTCTGAAATGGTGTAGGGTTTCCTGCCTGAGCAGGGGGTTGGACTAGATGACCTCCAAGGTCCCTTCCAACTTTACTACTATTACTATTACAGTGAATATAAAAGTGGGGTATATTTGTGAAATACAAACTTTACAACTTCAGTGGAACTAAATATTTGGAACAATTTAGACATCTTGGTTCAGCTTTTGCCAATCCGAAGAATGGACAAAACTGTTTAAAACTGCAGAAAAAAAAAATCCCCTATTTCAAAGTTGCATGCCGAAATTATTATTTCTTTTATTACCTCCAAATAATGTCATTTCTTTTTCTTCTAGTGGGGAGTGAAACATCCTTTCTTCCTCTAAGCAGGAAAGCCACTCACCAATCAAGCCACCGAGGGCTGGGATGAAAGGATGTGGCTTTTCAATTGATATTCCTTTTATTAATCATAATTTCTATCTTTATAATTATATATGAGTATGGTATATAACAGAATGTCAGAATTGGAAGGGACCTGGGGGTTCTTCTAGTCCAGATTTCCCCAATGGCTTTGTAGATCAGCAAGGGTGGGGAGGGGAATGGTTCCACGTGAGTGGCCAGCAAGTGCTGACATCTCCGTTTGCATGAGTGGCAAGCATGCTTGCCTGCCGCTCGCATAAATGGAGAGTGCGCATGCATACTTGCCTGCTGCTTGCGCAAGTGAAGATGCTCGTTCATGTCTGTTTGTTTGCCAGCCGTTTCCGCCAACTGGTTGCAAACCCCTCAAGGCCCACTAGTGGCCCACGGCCCACAGGTTGGGAACCTCTATTCTAGTCCAATCCCCTGCTCAAGCAGGAGACCCTATACCATTTCAGACAAATGGTTGTCCAATCTCTTCTTAAAAATCTCCATTGATGGAGGATCCATAGCATGATATCCTTTCCCAAAACTCCAGTGGGTCAATACAACACTTAACAGGTTTTTACCTATCTCCAACCTTTAAATAGAACAAGTTTGGTGATGTGATGGAATGTACTAAGGATGTGGATTCCTTGGAGGGAGGGAATGCATTCCAAAGGACTAAGAGGTGATTCAATCCAGATATTATATGTGAGAGAAAGAGAGTAAACATAGCATCTTTCTAATAGTATATAGAATATATTGTAGATGCAGAAAGCAGGATGCTTAGTTTTCCAAGATTTTTTTCTATAGGTATGAAACAATAAAAGTTTAGAAGTATCACCAACTGTCATTATTGCTTTTGGGTTTGACACAAACTGGGAGACCATGAGTTCTAGCCCTGCCTTGGGCACAAAGCAAGCAATGTGATCTTGAGCCAGTAACTTTCTCTTAGCCAGTCCATTTGAAGGTCCACCTGGAAGGCAGGGTAGATAATGGATCCCATCTATTAGGGATGTACATTTGGTGAGACCACATAAAAGGCCCTTCTTGGTAGTGGCCCCTTCTCTATCGAACACCATATCCCCAGAAATATGATTGACTCCCACCTTGTTGCTTTCCCAAAAGTTCCTGTTGTTTTGTCAGGACCATGAAATGAAGATGGAGTCAATCAAGTGGTTGATCTGATTATGTTACTGCTGCCATGAGGACGGAATGTGGTTTTTATGTTGTGGAGTTTTAGTATTATAAGCCATATACATTTGTTTAATAAAATAAATAAATACATGCAAAATAAATGCTTACTTTTTCCATTTGAAATAGATAAAAATCAACAAATTCCTGTGGCTCACATAGGTTTTGATTTTTCTTTTGCTGTGTGATCTCCTTCTTTGCAAAAGTAATGATAAACTCTATAGCAAAAAATATTTTTCGGTAAGAGTCTGGGAGATATTTTATGATAAATGGAAATGTTTCATAAATCTACAAGAAAGACAAGCAAATCTTGTAACAAGACCAGAAGGTCAAATGGACCATAAGTCAATTCTCATAAATTATCACCTTCAGCCACATCTGAAATTTGCCTCATATCTGAAATCATTCCTCAATTCTAACTACATGAAATTTTGGATAAAGGATATACTCTTGTTGTTTCCTAATAGCCATTACTGAATGCATAAAATATATAAAATTTCCAGGAGGATAGCAATGGTACACTGAACATGAGTCTGCTTTTGCAGAATTGAAAAAAATGTGATGAAAAAAGGAGCCAGTGAATGAATTGGTTCCTCAAAACTGCTTCCCAGATTAAGGAGAGGATTATCCACAGATTTGTTCCATGGAGAATCTTCCAGTGAAGAGATACTAAAAGGCAATCTCCAGTAGATTTGAGAGCTGGGGGACCTGGGAGAAAATCATTGCCTAAACCATAATTCAGCATCTTCATAGAGACACTAGTTCATCTACCGTGTTTCCCTGAAAGTAAGGCCTACACCAACAATAAGCCTTAGCTTGATTTTGGGGGGTGGGCCTAATATAAGCCCTATCCCAAAAATAAGCCCTAGTTTTGGGGCAAGGCACACACCTAAAAACCAAGCTAGGGCAGATGTGGGGGTGTGGAGCTACCCCACCTGCCCCACACCCACTTACCTTGCAGCCAGGCTTCTCCTTGCCGGCCCACTTCTTCCGAGGCCTCTTCTGCAGCCAGACCTGCATTTCTCATCACAGGGTTTTCTGGAAGGCCTCTGCAGCCAAGAACTAAGCTATGGGTTCAATCCATAGCTGGGTTCTGCAAGACCTCAGCAGCCGAGCACCAGGCTATGGATTGAATCCATAACTTGGTACTTGGCTGCTTAGGCCTTCTGGAAAGGCCTGACTGCAAAATGCAGGCCCGAATGTAGCTGCAGAACTTTGGCCTCAGAAGAAGTGGACCGGCTGGGTGGGGCTGTTGGTGCCGGAGGTAAGATAAGGCCTACTCTGAAAATAAGACCTAGTGCCCCTTTTGGAGGCACAAAACAAAAAAATAAGACCCAGTCTTATTTTCGGGGAAACACGGCATTTCTTCTCTTAACTACTTTCAGAAGCTCTTTATTATTGATTTTGTAGATGTTAAGAACCTTCCAAACAGCAAGTTTTATTTTGTCAGGAGAATCTTCTTTTACCATGGCTAAAAGAAGTTCTATGTAGGTTTAAAGATTAAAAAATAAAACTTTAGCAAATGAAGGCAAATATATGTGTCCCAGGATAACATTCCAGGATCCAATAGGCATGCTGATTTACCACCAGTTTATCAGTACTTAGGCCCCAAGGGTGCATCAAGACAAGGAAACTTTTAATGACTTAATACCCTAATTAACAACTAAAAACTACACACAACCACGAACCATATAAATACAATGCATATTCTGGAAAGAGAGAGGTTCTCTGAGGATGGGCTCCAGCATGAGCCCTAAAGTTTGAAAGAATAAACCTTTGGTCCTGGTGACTGACTCAGATTGGATCCTGCAGTAAAACTTTAATTTTTGGAAAACAATAAAAGGGGGACTAGTATTTTGACTTTCAAAATTTAAGGGGCTAGATGGACCTTAAAGAAGAGGTCCACAATCTTTCTGAGTTGGCGGCCTGGAAGAAAAGGGGCAAATGCCTTCATGCATGCATGCGTGCACACAATGCAAACAGGGCTGCGAACATACATGTGATGTGAACGGGGCCACAATCGCATGTGTGACACTCATGATAACACTAGTGCCCACAACCCTCACAGCAATACTAGCACCTGTGTGACCCTCACAGCAACCCTTATGGGGATGCTAGTGCCCACACAATCCTCACAGTGATACTAACACCTGCACTACCCTACCCTAGTGACCCTTGCGGTGATGCTAGCATGAGTGTGGGGGGTGAGTGTGCATAGACACGCATGCTCACTGGCTAGCCACTCACGTGGCTTGGTGGCCAACAGGCCATGGACCAGCAGTGGGCCACAGCCCCAGGTTGGGGACTTCTGCCTTAAAGAACATTTGCAGTGGGGTGTTTTAAAACTTTATAAAGATTTTAATATTAATTAGAAGAACTCTTTCCATGGGAAAATTTTGTCAATTGGAAATTAAACACATGATAAAACAGAACTTTAATAGAAGGAACCAGAGCGAGCTAAAGATAACAACTCTGTAGGTATGCCACTTCAATCTTGTATCTTCTCCTCCAACATATGCCTCCTATTCTTTTACTTCCTCCAATCCTTCCTCCATGATTTCCAAGTTGCTGATCATCTGTTCCCCTCGGTTCCATTTCTATTAAATCTTGATAAAACTTTAGTGCATTTTCAATGCAAAAATCAATAATCCTTTGAATGGGATATACCGTATTTTCTGGCGTATAAGATGATTGGGCGTATAAGACAACCCCCGACTTTGGAGAAGATTTGCATGGTTAGAAAGTCGTCTTATACGCTGGAAAATACAGTAATTCAAACTGCAACCTCTGAAAATTAAAATTCACATCTTTTCATTTGACCTGATGAAGTGCAGTCTTCACCTGATTTAAATCTGGCAAAAGAAAATATTTCTGTCTTTCTCTTAAAATCCATGTAGAGATTTCTTTGAAAGTATATTGTCATGGTTCTGACAGATATAATAATAATAATAGTAGTAAAGTTGGAAGGGACCTTGGAGGTCATCTAGTCCAACCCCCTGCTCGGGCAGGAAACCCTACACCATTTCGGACAAGTGGCTGTCCAGTCTCTTCTTAAAAACTTCCAGTGTTGGAGCATTTACTGCTTCTGGATGTTCCACTGTTAATTGTTCTAACTGTAGGAAGTTTCTCCTTAGTTCTAGGTTGCTTCTCTCCTTGATTAGTTTCCACCCGTTGCTTCTTGTCCTGCCTTCAGGTGCTTTGGAAAATAGCTTAATTCCCTCTTCTTTATGGCAGCCCCTAGATCACTGCTATCATGTCCCCCCTTGTCCTTCTCTTCGTTAAACTAGACATACCCAATTCTAGCAACCGTTCCTTATATGTTTTAGCCTCCAGTCCCCTAATCATTTTTGTTGCTCTTCTCTGTACTCTTTCTAGAGTCTCAACATCTTTTTTGATCGTGGTGACCAAAACTGGATGCAGTATTCCAAGTGTGGCCTCCAAGGCATTGAAGAGTGGTATTAATACTTCACGTGATCTTGATTCTATCCCTCTGTTAATGCAGCCTAGCACTGTGTTGGCCTTTTTGGCAGCTGCAGCACAATATTTAAGTGATTGTCTACTAGGACTCCGAGGTCCCTCTCACAGTTGAATCTCTTCAAAAGAGCTTTGAGGCATTGTTTTCTTTAAAGAATCTTTTATTCGAGAAACAAAATATCGGCACTACAGAGTTGAAGCCAATTAACTTAAAGGGTGGGCTTTCTGCCCATCTCTCCAGCCCGCCAAATCTCTATCAACTCTGGACCTAATAACCTTGGGTTCCCATGGCTGAGTTATTATTGTTATGACTAGCTGGACTCTCATCCACATTCCCCCTCCCAGCATCAACAAACTCTAAAAGCGATAGAGAAAAAATGGCTACCTTTCCATCTGTTGTCAAAGCAAGAACATCCGATGTTAGCAGCATTGACATATATATGTTTAGGTTTTCAGCTTTTATAGGGTTAGGGTTTTATAGGGTGTCCTTCCTTATCTTTATTTTCATTTTATCTTTTTTTTGTTTGTGTTCCATATGAATCATATTCAATTTATTATCCAGCAATTTTTCAATTTTCTAAAAGTTAACTTCTAAAGATTGTAATAATTTTTTAAATAAAACTTTTATCTCCATGATTACCTGTGTGTTTCCTTTCTATCTTTCAGCCAATTGAATAGCACACTCTATTGACTGAAGAGAATAACAGCAGCTTTTGATTTCTCAAAAAACAAAGGGAGCCAAACACAGAGAGGTCCTCTAATTCAGGGATCCCCAACCTGTGGGCCATGGACCACTACCAGGCCACAGCCACTTGGCCACTGGGCCATGTGAAGAGTTGGCCAGTGCACACGCATATGGGCATGCACTCACCCCTCCTGCACTTTCAAATGACTTGCACTTTCAAATCAATAATTTGGGAGAGAGTTGCAATCTCTTTCCTTACAAGCAAAAGAAATCCTGCACATTACCTGCCCCAGATGGCATAAATGCTTCTTTTGTGACAAAAGTGTCCTTCTTTGTCCAGAAAATGATTGGGGTTGGATTTTTCAAGTGTTTCCCATTGTTCAGAATCAAGGAGAACAGAGCACAGGTTGGTAAAACAGCTGCTCCCTAAAATGAAGAAAGAAAGAAATGGAAACATCTAGATAAGCTGAGTTTGTTTGTTTATATTGTACCATATTTGCCATATAATACTCAGTTTTCCAGGTGCAGCAGGCTCTTTTCAAGCTGTTCACTGTGGTCCTGCACATGCAGAAATATTCTGCTTCTGTCCTCAGAGATGATGATGATGATATGGTGATAATAATAATAATAATAACAACAACCCCCAGTGAAGCACTACCTTGGTTGTGGGGCTTGTGTACTCTGAGGAAGATGAGAGCTATGCCAGAGGTTCAACCATACTGGACAGGTCTCATCAGAAGAGTCAGACAAAGAGTGTCAAACATCCACATCTGCCTATCCCACGTCCTGGGTAAGGACTCGATAGGTAGACAAAATGCCAAATCCAGTCTGAACATCTGGCTGACTGTGCGATGATCCATAATAATAATAAAGTTGGAAGGGACCTTGGAGGTCATCGAGTCCAACCCCCTGCTCAGGCAGGAACCCTATACCATTTCGGAAAAATGGCTGTCCAGTCTCTTCTTAAAAACTTCCAGTGTTGGAGCATTCACCACTTCTGGAGGCAGGTTGTTCCATTGGTTAATTGTTCTAACTGTCAGGAAGTTTCTCCTTAGTTCAGTTATGGCGAACCTTTTAGAGACCGAGTGCCCAAACTGAAATCCAAAACCCACTTATGCATCATCGGGTGCCAGGTGGGTGTGGCCCATTGGCTGGGTGTGACCTATTGGGTGGGCGTGGCTGTGGTGGTAACGGCAGACTGGGTGGGACTAAAAAGTTAAATCAATCAATTCCAACTTTGCAAGATCTTTTTTTTTCCCGTGAGAAGTTGAAATTGACTGAACCTTTTTTTTTTTTGCACACAGCGGCGGAGGCCTAAAGCGAAAAGCTTTTATAAAACCCAGCTGAAGGCCTAGGACTGGGGCGATGGCGCACGTGCCCACAGAGAGGGCTCTGAGTGCCACCTCTGGCACCCGTGCCATAGGTTCGCCACCATTGCCTTAGTTCTAAGTTGCTTCTCTCCTTGATCAGTTTCCATCTGTTGCTTCTTGTCCTGCCTTTAGGCGCCTTGGAGAATAGCTTGACTCCCTCTTCTTTGTGGCAGCCCCTGAGATATTGGAACATGGCTATTATGTCCCCCCTCGTCCTTGTGGCCAAGTGTGGCCTTACCAAGGCATTGTAAAGTGGTATTAATATTTCATGTGATCTTGAAGATCCTCTTGGCATTCTCATCTGTCATCTTCAGTATATCTAAGAGGCAATAATTTATATGGAAAATGTCCTGTACTATGAATCTGCTTCAGGAACATTGGTGTACATTGCTCCTACTCTTGTTTTTTCCAGTGAAGATCCTGATTCCCCCCACACACTTTGACTCCCACCCCTTTCCTACTGAAAGCAGCTGAGAGACAAATTGGGAATATGAATTGTTGAGTCCTTCGCGAAATAGCAAGACACGAGAAGCAGTTGTAGTTCTCAGGAACTCTTTATTCTTTTGTTCAGTTTACAGTTAGAAGACACTGGCAACGCCCAAAACTCTCGGCCTCTTTTATAGGCCTTTCCTGGGTCAATCTGCAACTTTTGGTGCGCCAGCACTTGCGCATGCGCACAAGTACTGGCGACAGCCTGTCTGGTCCCGGGCAGCTTGCACCTGCCCAGGACCGTTTGGAATGCCCCGAGCCTGCTTGCACAGGCTCAGGACATAACACCCCTTCCCCCCGGGTTAAAACTATTAACCATGCCATAGTAACACATAACCTATTGCGAGTGTAGTGCCATACTACCCAATGCCAGGTATTACTTTTGCTTCCATCAGTCTAAGTGCTCTGTTCTCACTGTTAACTCTGTTTTGCCAATAGAGTTACAAAATCCTCCAAGTACTTAGGAGATTTCCTTGCTCTCTGTGACCTCCTAAGTTCTGGGTACTTGCCAAGTGCCCCTTGACTGAGGGGTGATGTGTGCCTGTCCCCCCTATTACACCCTGGTGGTTCCCAAGGACTGTGCTCCAATGCCTGGCCTGCTTGCTTGCCCACCGGGCTCGTCAGGCCAGGGCTTCTTTCTTGGTTTGACCTGGTTGTCCTGCCTAGCTGTAGGCTCTCTGGCCCTTCTAAGTGACTGTCACTGTTGGGCGTTTCTGTAGAACCTCTTAGGTCTGTCCAAGACCTGTCAGGAGGCTGTCTGTCCCCTGCATCCCGTTCTGTGTCCGGGCTTGTGTGGTTTTCAGTACTGTCCCAAAACTCAGTTATCCCTGAGTGAAGTCAGAGGTGTTGTAGTCGGGATTTGGTTCCTCGACCACCTCCCTGTGTGTATGCCCCCTTCTAGGGACAGGGGTAGTGTTGGGCCAACTAGAAGGAGTATGTGCCAGCTCTCTTGCAGGGTATGGATTGTTGGGATGCTCCCGGGTATTCTCTCTGACTGGAGTACTGAGTGATGCGGGTGAGTAGTGATTATGCCCCCGGGGTGACTCCCTGGCTGGAGTAGACATTGATGCCTGGATTCTAGTTGGGCTCCATGACTTCCTGTTGGGAGCACTTGCGGGATCTTGAGATGAGCTGTTTGTAGCTTCCCCATTGATAACGGGCATCAGCCCATGCCCTTCCCCTTGCCCAAAGGGTTCCCCCTCCCCCCCTGGAAAAGACCCAGGAGTCTCAGCGGAAAGGTCCCATCTAGGGCGAAGTTGGTCGATGTGTCGACGCAGGACACGACCGTTGTCCAGGGACACCTCGTAAGACAGAGGACCTGTGACCCTGGATATAGAAGCAGGGACCCATGTATGACCAGGCCCGTAATTACGAGTCCAAACCGGGGCACCCACAAGTAGTTGCCTAGGCGCCCTGGGGTGAGAGACAGAAGGAGGCAGTCTGTCCGGATGCAACCGGTCAAGTTTGGTAGTTAGTTTGCGCCCCCAACGAAGTTCAGCTGGGCTTCTCCCTGTAGAAGTGGACGGTGTGGTGCGATAAGAAAGGAGGAAGTCAGCCAACCTGTGATGCCAGTCTCCATAAATAATTTTCTTCAAGGCGTCCTTGGTGATGCGAACCATGTGTTCAGCCATACCGTTGGTGGACGGGTGGAAGGGTGCAGAGGTGGCATGACGAATCAGGTTAGCCTGCAAGAAAGCTTGAAATTCGGAGGAAGTGAATTGTGGGCCGTTGTCAGACACAATGACGTCTGGGAGCCCGTGTGCAGCAAAAATCCCCCTCAGTACCTGAATGGTCTTTGCAGTGGTGGTGGATGAGACAGGTACAACCTCAAGCCATTTTGAATGGCTGTCAACGAGAACCAAGAAGAATTGACCCTGAAAGGGCCCAGCGTAGTCAATGTGCATCCTAGACCATGGAGACTGTGTTTCCTTCCATCTATGTACCGGAGCTTGGGGCATATCAGGGCGCGAGCATTGACAAAGGTGGCATGCATGCACCTTAGCTTCAATGTCTTTGTCTAGGCCAGGCCACCACAAATGGCTGCGCGCAAGAGCCTTCATTCGTACAATGCCAGGATGACCCTCGTGGAGGGAACCTAAGACCCTAGTCCTCATTGAGGTGGGAATGACAACTCTGCTTCCCCAAAGCAGACAACCCTGAGAGGTGGACAACTCGTTCCTTTTGGACCAGAAACCTGAAACTCAGGACCAGGACAGTGCTCAGGCCATCCAGACAAAACCCAAGAAAGGACAAGTGAAAGTGTGTGATCTGTGCCTGATTCAGCGGCTACATCCCTGGCATTCAGAGGGGACTTGGGCAAGGCTTGGATAGAAAGAAGATTGATAGCTGGCGCGGGGTCAGCTTCTATTACCGGCAGGGGTAATCTACTGAGGCCATCAGCATGGCCCATTTCCTTCCCAGGCTTGTGAAGTATGGAAAAATCATATGCAGACAAAAAGATAGACCACCTGAGCATCCTGGGGGAGATGATTTGGGGGGTTTGCTTACGTGTGGTAAACAGTCCCAGCAAAGGCTTATGGTCAGTGAAGACCGTGAAATGCCTACCATATAAAAAATCATGGAATTTTTTAATCCCAGCAACAACAGCTAGAGCCTCCCTGTCTATTTGAGCATAATTACGCTCAGCAGAAGACAATGTTCTGGAGTAATATGCAACAGGAACCTGAGTTCCATCAGACCTGAGGTGGCTCAGTACAGCTCCTACCCCATAAGGGGAGGCATCACAAGTGATGCACACAGGAAGGGATTCATTGAAATGTGCAAGTACACTGTCAGAAGTGAGTAAGGCCTTGACCTCATTGAAACTAGCCTCATGTATTTGTGACCACTGCCACACTGCCTGTTTATCTAATAGCCTGTGAAGAGGCTCAGCAACACTAGCCTTATGTGGAAGAAAGGAATTGTAGAAGTTCAGAAGGCCCAGAAAAGCCTGTAGTTCGGCCTTAGACTTCGGCCTAGGGGCTTGCATAATGGCTTTTAGTTTGGATTCAGCAGGGTGAATCCCAGCAGCATCAATTTTGAACCCCAGAAAGTCAGTAGAAGGCACCCCAATTTTGCATTTGTCCTTCTTAAGTTTGAGGCCTGTTTTCCTGAACCTTAACAGGACAGCCCTTAGCCTTTCAGCTAAATTGTGTGTGGAGTCTCCTGCAATTAAGACATCATCAAAATAGGGGCAACCCCCTGGTATACCTCGTAGTGTGTTTTCTATTACGATTTGGAAAATCCCTGGAGCGACATTTACTCCAAATTGTAGCCTCTTAACCTTGAAAGCCCCTCTGTGGGTCACAATGGTCTGAGCTATAGCAGCATCATCATCAACAGGCAGCTGTTGATATGCTTGAGCTAGGTCAAGCTTTGCAAAAACACGCCTCCCCCCTTGAGGGAGGCCAGAATATGACTGACCACAGGAACAGGATAGGCATGTTGCTGCAATGCCTTATTCAGAGTGCATTTGTAATCAGCACAGATGCGAATGTCCCCATTTGCCTTGAGAGGCGTGACAATGGGGGGTCTCCCAGGGACTGGAGTCAA